ACCTATTCATTTGCATACTCTGTAGTATGCAAACAGGGGAAGGGGCCGCATGAGGCCCGTGGGCCTGTAGTTCGTCAGTCATGATCTAGAAAATCAATCTGCCAACTGAATATTGACAATGAGTTGTATTACAAGGTTTAGACGACGTTCTTACAAGTTTTAATGATGACCTGACGAGTTCAATTTAGAGGTGTTGATTTATTACTCACGGTGTTTTCTCATTGGATGGAATAAGCAGTTCGTAGGTGGATATGAGAATGAACGATGGACGAGAGATTGGTTTTTAATTGGCAAAAGTCAAGCTGTGATGGAAGAAGTAAACACGTAGGTGGAGAAGATTAAGGATGGACAGTCATCGGGGTAAGATTGAGGGAAAGGATGACTCGAGATTCTGTACGTGGACGATTAACCCTCTGTAACCCACATTTTCTTCGTTCATGAGAAGAAAAATTACAGTTAATTACAATTTTATATATTAGTGGCAAAAGCAAAAATTAATAATTGTTATAAAAAAATTGGCTAGTAATAATGTAACAGTACATCGATATAGTACAATAGTATGACAATAAACAAATGAATTAAGACTTATAAAATATAAAAAATTGATTTACGGTTGCTGACCCTGTCAACTTGGAATACCGAGGTTACTATAATTTCTATTGCTTATTGAAAAAGTATCGATTTCTTAATCCGATCAATCCAATGTTACTCACATTCTATCACTGTATCCGATCTTTTTCCATTTTTCCTCTTCTTTCTATGAATATCATTATATCCGTCACAAGTTGGACGGTTTTAGTACACGACCGTGTACAGTGGGTATTTTGAAAATTGACCAACTGGAGGAAGACACCGGCGGTGGAACGAAAAAAAAATCTGTGACGAGAGCTACCGAATGAAATTCGTAGCTCCTGGGGGAGTGGTTGCTATTTCGCTTTAAGCTTTTCCCTTTTTTTCCCCCTTTTTTTTAACCATCACGCCGAGCCGCGATATTTGCCTCCTGCCGGGATGCATTTGGTATTCCCAGCGCTGCGGTACGCTCGAGGTGCGAAGGTTAACGCGGCCCCCGCACGAAACTGGTAATCCTCGGATCGGTATTTCACTTTGTGGCCGCGGGAAAATCGCAAACAAACCGGAAACGGGCGGGGTTCGCCGAGAGGAATTTCGAGGGCCGGAACGAGCACGAAATTTTTGTCGAACATCGTGTCACGGGATTAAGAGATTCGAATCACAACCGTGGAATCGTGAAACCAAATGGAATCATAAATCGTGTAGCTTTTCCTTTTTTTTCTGCTTTTTACAAGAGTAACCCTTTAATTAACGAACGCTGCACACGCGCTTCCAGTAAATTTGTATCGGTGTAAAGAACTTTTATTATCACAATTGTAAATCGAGAGAAAATCTACAAATTTGTGCAAAACTTCACCCCTTAACCAGCAACGTGTCAGACTCGTGGCAGAGATTTTGGTCAAGATGTGACCCAAATAGTGTAGGAATATTATTTAAGTGGTCTTTGTTTTTTGAGAGGAATATAGTTTTATTTCTGAACACCCTTCGTCTTTGACACTTTCTCTTACAATACTTTTTTCTCTCTTTTTTTAAAATTATTTTCTGCCTCAGTATGAGTTGCGCCTATTGGCTCAGGGTTATTACTACTATGACGTTTTGGATTAATTTGGATTAATTGCATAAGTAGCTATAGAGAAAAATTTTCAAAAAATCTCTAATGTACATCTTACGATCCTTTTTTCTCTCTCCGCTCTTGTCACGCGGCCACGCTCGATCACAGACTTCTACACGCATTCACACACTCTTGCTACGCGCCGATTTTCGGTCAAGACGTCGCTCTTATCACGCGTGCATTTTCATTCGGAAGAACTGTCACTCGGACCATACATTCTGATCTCACATCCTACAATAGGATAAACCCTATCTTTCGTTCCAATTTGCAACACTGAGAATTACTAAATGTAATTAATCCGTGACCAATTAACTTTCGTTACCTGATACAATACTAAGACAGTAAACAGCTGACGCTTAGATGCCTAATTAAAAGAGAAATCATAGATTAAGCGATTAACGACCATTTATCGATATCATTCTCTCTCTCCCAGAGCTGCACCGAGCGTCAAACGGTTAAACCGAAAATTCTCACCGCGTGAAGAACGAGCGCGATGTAATTTCTAACCGAGCACACGTACCTTTTATCAAAACCGTTTAACGCTCGAGGGCGTGGCGATAATTGGCAGGAAGGTCGCGAAATTCCAGCATCGTTTCAACGAATGAGAACGCCAACCATTCTACGCGCCGGCATCGGAAATGCGAAGAGCACGCGGGCGGGAAAACTGTATCGCCAGGGTGGAAAGTGAGGAGAGGATGCAGAGGAGGAAATGCTAAGTTCCGTGCCGTTCATGTTGAAATTCTAAAGTTACCTACGTTCCCGTCTCATGAATCACAAAGGGTTCGCGGATATGAAAGTGCAATTGCCCGTTTCCGGGCTCCAATGGAGTCGCGTTCGATGAGCACGACCCTTTCTTCTTCTCTCTTTCTTTCATCTCTCTGCCACGTCTTTCTCATTCTCGCGCCGCGTGGAACAGGCTGCTGCATAAATTCGCTTTTGCAACACGGGGTATGTATTTCATTTCTACGTAGGAAAGGCGAAGTTTATTCAAAGCGCGGGCCGTTTCTCGTCGGGATACCCGAAACAGTCCAGAGATCAGCCGGGTTTCCAGCGATTTTCGGTTCCCGCTTGTATCGATACGCGCGGGTCGCGTGTTCGATTTCTGCCACGGGGCGAACTAACCGATCCCTCCTCGTTCCAAATGAAAAGAAATAAAAGGTACTCTGTGTGTTGCTTTTAATCGAAGGAATGTATTTTCTATTGGTTTTTTACATTTTTTATTTTTTCTGGGCGGGAGGAGGTTCGCGGTTCAATCGCTCGGCAGTTTTCAAATTGTACCTCGTGTGGATTTTTATCGAAGGAAAAATGACGGTGTAAAATGGAGAAGCAGTCGGTGGAAGCAATATCGCGAGGTTGTGAATTGGAGCATTGGACGACGTTATTTGTGAAGTGATATTTAAAATTTCATTATGGACAGCAGATTTAGTTGATGGTTAAGGAGGACTCGTCAATGGACGAGTTTAAGAGCACGCTTTAAGAGCAAATTAGGTCATAGAAATTTATTCTGATTGCTAATAAAAGTAAAATAAAAAATTTCATTAAGCTTCCATCATATTTGTGTCATATTGGTAAAAATTTAGATTTACCTGCAGTTGTCAGTTTTTTAAATACACTGCAATGGAAGAACCAATTCCAAGTTGATATCGAACAACCCTGAGACTTTACCCTTTAACCCTCAAATTTTTCTCAACTTGACGTGCCAAAAATGATCAGCTTTATTTTTCTTTTTAAATTACACTTATTAGAGGATTAGTTGTGCACGTGTAAGACACTTGCATGAGCGTTAAGCTCCTCGTATTTGAAACTACTTTTTGGATTACGTAAATTAAAGCATTAACCCAAAATCGAATGCTATTCCTTCTCATTTTTCAATTACGACTGAATCTATCAATAAAAACTAAGTCACACTTTATTCAATCCTTATATTCTCGAATTTCTAATCGATTTCACGAACTCCCTATATTTCTTCCATTAACTATACCTCATCACCCAACCAATTTCCTTATCTCACTCTATCGTTTCCACCGACTATACCACAGCACCATAGACACTAAGTCACACTTCATTCAATCCTTATATTCTCGAATTTCTAATTGATTTCACGAACTCCCTATATTTCTTCCATCAACTATACCTCATCACCCAACCAATTTCCTTATCTCACTCTATAGTTTCCACCGACTATACCACAGCACCAGACACTAAGTCACACTTCATTCAATCCTTATCTTCTCAAATTTATAATCGATTTTACTAACTCCCTATATTTCTTCCATCAACTATACCTCATCACCCAACCAATTTCCTTATCTCACTCTATCGTTTCCACCGACTATACCACAGCACCAGACACTAAGTCACACTTCATTTAATCCTTATCTACTCAAATTTCTAATCGATTTCACTAACTCCCTATATTTCTTCCATCAACTATACCACATCACCTAACCAATTTTCCTATCTCACTCCATCGTTTCCACCGACTATACCACAGCACCAGACACTAAGTCACACTTCATTCAATCCGTATCTTCCCAAATTTCTAATCGATTTCACTAACTCCCTATATTTCTTCCATCAAGTATACCTCACTCCCTATATTTCTTCCATCAACTATACCTCATCACCCAACCAATTTTCCTATCTCACTCCATCGTTTCCACCGACTATACCACAGCACCAGACACTAAGTCACACTTCATTCAATCCTTATCTTCTCAAATTTCTAATCGATTTCACTAACTCCCTATATTTCTTCCATCAACTATACCTCATCACCCAACCAATTTCTTTATCTCACTCTATCGTTTCCACCGACTATACCACAGCACCATAGACACTAAGTCACACTTCATTCAATCCTTATCTTCCCAAATTTCTAATCGATTTCACTAACTCCCTATATTTCTTCCATCAACTATACCTCATCACCCAACCAATTTCTTTATCTCACTCTATCGTTTCCACCGACTATACCACAGCACCAGACACTAAGTCACACTTTATTCAATCCGTATCTTCCCAAATTTTTAACCGATTTCATGATTTCCCTATATTTCTTCCATTAACTATACCTCATCACCCAACCAATTTTCCTATCTCACTCCATCGTTTCCACCGACTATACCACAGCACCAGACACTAAGTCACACTTCATTTAATCCTTATCTACTCAAACTTCTAATCGATTTCACTAACTCCCTATATTTCTTCCATCAACTATACCTCATCACCCAACCAATTTCCTTATCTCACTCTATCGTTTCCACCGACTATACCACAGCACCATAGACACTCCTGCAATCAGGGAAATCTCCGAAAAAAAAAGAAAACTATCTACGAAAGGAGAAAAATTATCGATAACATAATTTCGACTTACTTTTCCTCTGGTATCACCTTTACGACCGTACTTGGTATAACTATCGGTTTTTCGCGTGGAAGGCCACCCCGGTAACGACACTTTTCCGCGGCATTAGTAAGATCCGAAGGTCGCGATGGGAATAAGTTGGGTGTATAAGAAAATTGGCGGTTGTCCCGAGAGCTCTTTAGCGGTCTTGCTAACTGTTAGATGGTAGGGTAGAGGAGAGAGAGAGAGAGAGAGAGAGAGAGAGAGAGAGAGAGAGAGAGAGAGAGAGTGGGTCGGAGTCTCCAGATGGTGGGTCTGTGAAAAGCGCGGCTTAGCCGAAGGAAACCATATTAACGTCGAGGGTGAGGGGGCAAAGTGGGATGGGAAAAAGAACAATTTCAACGCGATTCCACCGTCCCCTTCAATTAGCTTTTATCCTAGAATATGGAACGGCGATCGTGACGCCTGGCTAGAAGCTACTGCGTGGAATAAAGGCACCGCGGCGACCTTGATTGAGGCGGAAAAAAGGGAAAGAATTATCTCTCGCCGTGGAACTTTATCGGTTCGAACAAAAGCGAATTAACCCGGTGGATATGAGCGGAGAAACATAACGCCAAGCGTATCATTCTATATCTAACAATTAACCGTCAGACGCCTGGAGGGAATTCGACGGTGTATACAGGGTGTAACAGAAATAGCTGGTTAAACTTTGATATTCTTTTTAAGGATGAGAAAAGGTTGTATAAAGGTGGGATCCCGGGGAAATTCCTTCTTTTCCAGGTATTAATATTTGAAATAAGGAAGATCCAGTTTCTCTAAGCCAACGGTGAAACGAAATAAATGTACCCTTCGCAGGATATCTCTCGAAACGCCGAGCTTTCGTGCAGTTTCTCTTAGCTCGTGTGTGATCGAAGTATCTGCTTGTTCGATGATAGAATGAGTCATTCTGACAGATACTTCTTTAATTATCAAAAGTTTAAATGGTGACTGATTTACAAAAATTTGGAATCACCTTTCAGTTTTTATTAATACTGAAATTTTTATAGACTTGAAATTGCTATTGTTCGAATATATGATTGATTCGAACGATGAAAATTTCGTTGAAAAATTCCTAAAATTGCTCACTTTTCTTCTGCAAATGTAACTTGCAATGCACAGTGGTTCCAAACTTTTAGAGTACGTTGGCTTCAATTTTAGGACAACTTGCTCCACTACATTACTTACTCCTACCAGAAACAAATTATAAAGCTTGCAATTCTTCGTGTGACAGTTACATTCGTGTAAAATTTACAAATTAATTCTATGCCTTTTTTCACAAACTTGAATGTTGATTTACAAAAAAATCAAACACAATTTTATTGTTCAAAATGATCTCCATTATTTTGTACGACTTTATCCATTAACTGAATCACCGACGAATTCCCTCTCTAAAAAAGTATAGCGATTTTGAGTCGATAAAGTCTTGGAGATTTTTTAAAAAGAGGCATCGAATTAATTCGTGCACCTGATAATCAAAAACTGTTTATATCTTGGAAAAGAAGTTTCCAGACCTCTGTTCACCTAACCCTTTTCCACTCTTACCAAAAACAGAATACGGCACCACAATTTGACCACCTATTCCGGTCACACCGCGTGTGTAACGTGAACAGAAAGAATATATTCGTAAATTACGCTTGCCAAGTAGAAGATTTTATATTTCTCTTACCAGCTACGTCCTGCAGCGTCGATTTCTCGCCGCAGCTGATAAAATGGGGATAGAAGGACACCATAACTATACCATCGGTCTGCGCCTGTAACAGTAAAAATCGTGGAATAATTGTTCGGTTGTCTAGACAGTTCACGTTCGTTTACCACATTCACTGCCACGCCAAATTTCCATATTTTTCTCGGGGTACCAGAAGAAAATCTTCATTGTTCTACGCTTTATTATTATTTTTTAAAATTCCAAATAACGTCTAGTTATCTACGATATTAGAAATATTTAGTCGACGATATTCATTTCATTTGAACAATTCCAAAGATTCGAGGCCCTCCGGTCACAGGTGAGCAACGTGGCGGTGAACGTGTTACCTTCGAATCGACGAGATACATAGAATAGTAATCGATTGTCGTTCACTCACCAAGCGTCGCAGCGCATGGTCAGGCACGTTTCGCGAGGAATTGCAAAGGGCGTGAGCGCTGCTGTGGCTGAAAATCACCGGCGCCCTCGACGTCTTCATGGCGACCAGCATCGTGGGTACAGAGACGTGCGACAGATCCACCATCATCCCGAGTCGATTCATCTCGAGGACGATGCTCTGGAAACGTTCAGCCAGAAGGACGATTCATTTAACCGCACGATACTCGAGAACTCCGATGAATTTCCATTCGAACGCGAAGAGTGTCGATGGGCTCCCGAGAAATTAATTCCGCGAGGGTGAAATTATAATAGGTGACGTGAGGTGGTGAAAAAATATTCAGTATTCAGGTATTCTTTGTAGACTGTTGCATAATTGGGTAGTTGGTTATTTTTGCGGAGCTTGCGTTGTGGTGATGTTAGTGCAATTGTTTATTGCGTGGTGGATGTTGGGGTGTTTGTTTATGGTGATGTATGATGTCGGTGTGAATTGTGATTGGTCGAGTGCTGAGGGAGGTGTAAATAATGGAGGAATGTTTGGTTGTGGACAGAGAGTACAGGAATGTTGATGACAATAACAGTTTATTAATTAAGATAATTCAATATTAATGGTATATTGGTAATAACTAACACTTACACCTCGGTTCATATGGGACACCTACTAATTTGAGCTTTACATTAACATTGTTAAACACCGGCGTTGTTAAATCAAACGATTGTTTATAGATTACTTGCACCGAGTATAGTTCTTTAATGCTGAAATCTATTGAAAATTGTATGTACAAAGTTTGAAATTTTTTCGTTGATATACGCTCGTGGTTTCGCGATGATGGATTGAAATCATTTTTTAAAGTTTTTTTTAGAGTTTCTTCGTGGATTTCTTTCTAGGACCACTGCAAATGTGTCCATAGATCTTTTTGTCCGAATACTTCTGTCTAATTCATCCAACAATTTCTGGTGTTGAACTTCATTATAAATATTACAGTTTTTCTTGTATTAATTATAATAAAATATATACTTTAAATGTAATTGTTATCGAAATAAGAATTTGTGAAACGGTAAGGTGTCCCATGACTTATGGACGGAGGTGTAACTCTTAGCTCAGCTCAACTCTTGATACTCTATAATACGCGCTCTCTGATGCTCTCTCTCAATGACTCTTTCGCTCTATGAACGCTCTATCCGCGCGTCTCATGCACCCTGTTTTAATCTTTCGTTCACTCATTCTCTCTTTATGCTCTTTCACTCTTCGCGGACATTCTCAGAACTCATCCAGTAACGTCCATCCAAATTTAGTGGCCAAGAAATCTTCGTTCGCTGAATCCGCTCCAAACACTTATCATTCCCACCTCTATCGCTCGAATCTAAATATTCTTCGTTCACGCAGCTATCGTTTTTAATTAAACATTCATAGGAGATGTAACTCTTCATTCGCAGCTCTATTTTTCCAGTCCACAGACTCGTTACGATCATTCTTACAATAAGGATTCGGAAAATGTGTTAGAAAATTCTAGTGGAAGGAGAAGTACAGATGAAGGAGGTTTGGAAATTGGAGGAATGTAGGAAGAACCCGGAAAGGTGAGAAGAATGGCGAAGAGAATGACTCGGGATTCTTCTTCACCCTAGTTTTATGACAAGAAGGCAATTTCTTCGGATCTTGAAATTACAAATCGTAGAGAATTTGTGTAGGCTTTAAAATTAAAGCTGGAAAGGTGTTATTATGGTTTTAATGGTCGATCGAACATTAACTTTCGAGTATACTCTAGAAATCGAGGAAAAAATCGAGTGTCACCCAGCCGGGAATCGAACCCGCGACCTCTGATTGGCAAGCCGAGGCTTTGTCCACTACGCCAACAACTCCCTCTCTATTTTCCCTTAGAGGTTCCTTATTTGAGTACCAAGGCCCCGATCCTACAATACACTTTTTTCATCCCTTTCTTCTCTTTTTCTCTCCCGGTACTCTCTATGATAATTGTACCAGAGAGCTATTTTATTCCGAGTAAGTAGCTTCGAAGATATCCCCGGGACGTTGCATTAGAATCGATCAGGCCATTTCGCGGATTTACCGACTGCCTTCGGAATCGAGAAGGCTGGATTAACGCGGCTTAAGCTTCTCGACGACGATCCCGAGGGGAAATGGTTAGAAGAATGGAAGGATCGACAGTCTTATGGGATAATTCGGGTTTGTATCGTAGAGAGAAAGAGAGAGATTAGTTTGAAGAGTTTAAACGGATCTTTCGCATTCGATTGACCTCGGGAATGAAAATTCTCGCCAGACACGAACTCTCTTCTGCTTTGCAGCGTGCTCACGTGTGATCCGTGACACTTATTGCAACAGCCGTTCAATCCGATTGAAATTCACGACAGACGATCCCTTAGACACTTTGTTTGCAAGGAATTCCAATCCGTGGGGTTGCAGGAACACGAGATTCATAGTTTCATACCCGGCTGAGTTTGGCTACATACCCGGCTACTTTTCGTATTCCACGCGTGTCGCGGTTACGTCTATCCGTTTCCGACTCTGCCACCTTTCATTCTCTGATAATCGTGCGTAGAGGCGGTGGAGAACGGTCCTGGTATTCGAGGACAAAAAATTGTTCTGGAAGGAAGCGAGGGAAGTCAGTATTTCTCTAACAGATAAGAGATTTCCAATAGGTAACATCGAGGAAGCGAGTGTCGCGACAGGGGGGAAATATCCTGTCTGACGTCACACACTTTCTAGACGTATCTAGTTACAAAATAGGAAATTCGATTTTCATCGTTGACACTTGTCATTTTCACCGGAAGAAAAACAGACATCCACCGGTTGGCTCCTTTCGATCCGACACGCTGCGCTCTTGACGCGAACAATCGAGCTTTCCGTTGCAAGATGAACGTTCCGTGGGGATACGAGAGCGTGGAGGATCTGACGTATAGTCGGTGGAAGGAATAATTGTACGTCGAGGTTAGAGAAGTCGTAGTTCGTTTTCGTTGAAAATTGACCCTGAAGAAGTAAGTTGCTTCACGTCACAGCGTTGATGATTATAATTTGCAATGATTGAACGACGTGGACTTCGAATTTGGATTTCAACCGAGTGAAGCCTTTCGAATTTTCTGTATAGTGTAGTAGATTGTGTGAGGTTGCATTGAATCACACTCAGGAGCCAAAATGATTACCTCCTCTTTTTGATATTCTCCCAATTTTATTATAATAGCAAAGTCTAATACATGCTTGGTGCTTCATTTTTCATAAATAATACAAAATTTAATAAATTTTATTTGACAGAGTTAGCCACTTTGGTTTCTGAGTGGTGTTGGATTTATAGCCAGATAAATATAACAAAAATTAAATCTAAAGCCTTCCTAAGACGTATAGTTGGGGCCACGATATAGCGAGGTCGTAAATTAAACTCTCAAGAATCGGCACCGATTGATGTTGCGGCACTCAAGGCCGTGTGTTGCAGTCTGTTTGAGGGTTCCAACAATAAACGAATGGTAGCATATGATTTGGTACTTCAAGTAGAAAATGGTATTTCATTTACAAATGGAAAATATGTTAATATTAAAGCTACACAATCCTTTTGCATTTTCTATCTGCATCTTGTAACCGTACTTCCAAATGCGGCTTTTCCCAGAAGAAAAAAACCCTAAATTGTCCTAGCTGAACTCAATTTTCAGTAAATATATTAGAATCAGTTTGACTTTCGCTGGATAGAAGAATTCTTTGTACGGTCCTGACCATGGTTTCAAGTACTTATTATATTCTTTTTGTATGCGTTCCAAGAAATCCGTTTTAGCTTTACTACATCTGTTTAGTTTCAAATCTAAATGTTTATGATACGTGACAAAAGGCCCTTCGGTCCGAAGCGGTGTCGCAGGCAATTTTCGGGCGTTGCGTTGGAACGTCCTCAGTCCGTATACAGTGCTCTTGCTAGCAAGTAGAAAACCGTACCTTCCTTGTGTATAATAAAGATTACAGTTTGAAATAAGAAATATTAATTATTTAATAATCCATAAAACCCATAATCTAATAAGTGGTCCTCGAGGACAAGAGTATCGCCTCGGCAATGCAGGCCCGCGCCCCCACTTCCTGGGACTTTCCCAGGGAAAAGGGGCTACTTAAGGGTGCCCCGAAAAAGGCATGGGGCCTTTTGTCGTAGACTCGCGTCGCCCACACTTCAAAATTAGGTTAAGCGTTATCGAATTAAATAAATATATTTTTATTAAACAACTTGCTCGAGTAATTACTTTACACCACGTCACTTCCAAAAGTGGCTCAATTATTCAACAAAATATTAGAGTTCATTGTATAAATGAATTTGGTGAGTATACTGTGCAAAAAAGTGTCTTAGTCGTCTGTGCATAATGTTCCACAAACTTTGTATATTTTCTAATTAAGTTTTTGCTGAGTAGAAGTGTATTTTCATTAGTGTTTCTAAATACTGACTGTGAATTTGTCAATAAAAATTCTCTTACTGTTCGGTCGACGATAACCATACTTTTTAGGGTCCACCCTGGTCCTCTTTCGTTCAACCTAACGTGCACAGTGTCCGGAAGTGTGGACGTTGAAGCAAAGCGCTCGTAAAGTATAATAATTTGCTAACCCGTGACGACAAATCCATCAATTCAACTACCACTTGCTTTCCACGACCCGACATAAGTGTGCATGAAAATTACAGAAACGGTATTTCGCGTCCGTTGAAAATCAACCGTGAAACAATGCCGAGCGAACAATTCCTATTAAACGAAGACAGGACAGGTCCGCCCCGAAACAGAATTGTCTTTCGTGCATTTCACGAACATTCCCCCGGTTCGTCGTTCCAGTAGAGAAACCTCGTCGCATTAAACAGATTCGCTTTGCTAAATCAGCGCCATGATGGCCCGACTCTCTCAAGATTCTTGTTTATCACGTTTCTCCGTGGAAAGTTTGCTAAGCTCGTCCCCCTGTTCCCGTTGCTTTCCACACGGTGAAACGGCTCCAACGGCGGTGTCAGCCTCTTGTCATAACGAATGTGTTCTCTGGGCTACATTCGACGTCGACGTGATCGTTCGTTCCACCCTTCTAGACATGTTCGAGAGGAAATTAGCCGGCACAGAGACGAATTTATCGTTAACTGCAACGGCCATTATCACGAAATTAGCGAAGTTGCAGTATCTTTCGGTGAAGTGGTCGTCGTTAGACGACGGCGGAGAGTTATCCCA